CCTTCCTCACTCCTTCCCTCCCTCCCTCCCTTCTTTCTTTCTTTCTTTTTGCCAGATATGGTGGAGCATGCCTGTGATCCTGTTATGGTGGAACAGGAACATGTCTGTAATCCTGACATGGTGGAACATGCCTGTAATCCTGACATGTTGGAACATGCCTGTAATCCTGAGATGGTGGAGCATGCCTGTAATCCTGACATGGTGGAACATGCCTGTAATCCTGATATGGTGGAGCATGTCTGTAATTCAGACATGGTGGAGCATGCCTGTGTTAGTTATTTAGCTGCGTTGTGTTCTTACCCTGCAAGGAAGTGTCACGAAACATGACAGAATCCGCTTATAAGAGTTTATTAGAGATAAAGGGATAGAGAGTGTGCAGGTCTGTGGGAGAGACACGTGTGTGGAGAAGGGGACTGGGAACATGGCGCTCTGCTTTAAAACCGGCTGGGGGCGTGGCCAGGTCATGTCACTACTCCACGCGTGTGCGTAGATCACATGGTCATGTTGCGCGCTTATGTGGCCATGAAATGTCACGGATCCTGGTTACGCGAGACGCCTTGACCCGGAAATGCCTATCCTGACCGGGAATTGGCTAGGCGGAAGTATCCGCCTGGTATATGCGACCGTGGGGGCATGTTGTGAACCCTTCAGCCTGTAATCCTGACATGGTGGAACATGCCTGTAATCCTGACATGGTGGAGCATGCCTATAATCCTGACATGGTGGAGCATGCCTGTAATCCAGATATGGTGGAGCATGCCTGTGATCCCATGAGACTGAGCTGGGGGTTAAGCACTCAAAACCAGATGATTGCAGAAGGAGAACCTGTCTTGAAAAACTAAAAACTAAAGAACAAAAGCAAAAATAATGACAAACCCTACTTTTCCTTTAATTTAATTTAATTTTTTAGAGTGTGTATGTCCGTGTGTAGGATTAGATGCACATGAGTGTGAGTGCCCTTGGAGGCTGGAAGAGAGCGACAAAGCCCTTAGACCTGGAGTGACAGGCAGGGGTAAGCTGCTTCATGTGGGTGCCGAGAACAAACACAGGTCCTCTGGGAGAACAGGAAAACAGTCTCAAGCACTGAGCCATTTCTTCAGCCCCAGTTTTCCTTCTTCACGCCAGCATGGTCTCTAGATAGAAAGACAGGATGAGGGCTGGAAGCCAGGTCAATTGTTATGTAACCATAGACACCTGGGGCTGCACTGGCCCAGCCTAACAATGGTCCTCACTTCGTCATTGCCCTTAGCTAGATACACATTGCCACTCCCTTGACCATGAATGCCATTGTTACCCTTTTGTACTAACCGTCCAGGCCCTGAGACAATCCCCACATGTTTACAGAATATAAACTAGCAAGAACTGGAGGGGCAGGAAGCAGCCACGGCTTTCCAGCAGTGACGATATGTTTTGATGATTACACACCGGCGATCTTGAGAGTCACCTCAGGGCAATGACTGGGAATGAATGCTGTATTGCCCAGTTTTAGGTCAACATGACACTAGCTGGAGTCATTTGGGAAGAGGGAACCTCAACTGAGAAAATGCCCCCCCCCCCAGTGCCCTGTGGGCAAACCCGTGGAGCCTTTTCTTGACTAATGATTGATGTGGGAGGACCCAGCTCACTGTGGTGGTGCAATCCATGGACAGGTGTTCCTGGATGGCATAAGCAGGCTGAGCAAGCCATAGGAAGCAGCTAGTAAGCCGTGTTGCAGAATACTCCTTTACACTGTGTGAAGATGCGTCCCTGTGATTGGTTTCATAAAGAGCTGAATGGCCATTAGCTGGGCAGGGAGAGGTTAGGTGGGACTTCTGGGGAAAGAGAGCTCTGGGAAGAAGAAAGGAGGAGTCGTCAGCTGGACAGAGAGGAAGCAGGATGGACAGTACAGAGTCAAGGTCACCGAGCCACGTAAAAGAACGTCAATTAAAACATATGGATTAATTTAAGTTATAAGAACTACTTAGGAACAAGCCTAAGCTAAGACCGAGCTTTCATAACTAATAATAAGTCTCTGTGTCATGATTTGGGGGCTGGTGGTCCAAAAAAGCCTGCTCCGAAGCAATGTTCCTCTGAGGCTTCTGCTCCAGTTCCCGCCTTCAGGTTCCTGCCTTGGCTGAGTTCCTACCCGGATTTCCTTCGCTAATGATGAGTAAGAGTGTGGAAGTATAAACCAAATAAACCCTTTCCTCTCCAGGCTGTTTGCTCATGGTGTTTATCACAGCAATAAAACCCCACACTACGAAAAGTGCTTTCTATGAAGCAGGTGGGCACAAGGAGAATTTTATATTCTTTTATATTATTCTTTTTTGTATAGATCCAAACAATACATTGGGGTAAGGGTATACAAGGTGCTGACGATTGAAAACAGGACTTGGTGCAAATCAGGCAAGTGCTTTGCCCTCGAGCCACACCATCAGCCCCTTTCTTGCATAAATTAAAATGAAAAAGTATAGACAGTGATTTAAAACAAAGAATAAAATGATTGTTCACACACAGCACCGGTTCATTAGAGTCCTCAATAAATTGCTGCCCCAGTTTTCTTAGCAACAAGACTCAGACCTGGTGGGTCAGAAGTGGGGATAGGGGAAATCTGTAGTCCGGTCAGAATGGCTCCTGCTGTCCCCTGTCGGTACACATGGTGTCATAGGCCATCCTCCGGCAGCACCGTGCACAGGTAATGCCAGGGCAAAGTCACAGAGGTTCGTAACTTAGGGCAGATTCCAGAACCATTGTCTTGAGTCAGTTTCCTTATCTTTAAAATGGGTATAAGGGTAATGATAGCACTCCCAAGTGATCCAGAGACTTCTCATTTGGTTTAAGTTTTTTTTTTTTTTTTTTTTTTATCTTGGCCACTTGACATTTCCACACATTACAGCTGCAACCTCATGCTTGAAGACCGAAAGAAGGTAGAGTTCCGGGCAGGCAACGAAGCGTGGGTTGGGACGAGTTAACAAAGGGAAGCATGATGTCACAGCCCACATCTGCCTGGCTTCTTTGCAGAACCGACACTATGACCTGAATAGCACCATGGCAAGGTGGGGAGCTGGCTGGCAACTCACCAGCATGGTTAAAGAGAGTGCCAAGCCTCATCTTCACCACAAGCTTTCACCAGGATGGTCCCGGTTCTGCCGCTCCTGTCAAGGAGGATATATGTGGGTCAGTGACTTCCCCCTCTCCGGAGCACGCAGCAAACCCCGGCTGCGAGGCCAGTGGACCTTCACAGCCCCCATAATGCATCTTTTCCCCTAGTTTTAAAGATGTACATAATCTTTGCATATTCGAGAAATATACAGAAACGAAAGTAAAATTATCCCACAGTCCTCTCACCCAGAGATACAGCTCACGACAAGGTTCTCTCTGTGCGTTTTTTCTAAAAAGTGTACTTTGGTTACTTTTTAATTTCCATATGAATACAGGAAAAAACTACTGCCCATGCCTGTGTCAGGGTGCAATGATATTCTTTCTAGAAAGTTCTGGCTTCCTGTGGAGGTTGCCTCACTCCAGGAAGCTGTGACGGACCCAACTGATCGCCCATAGCTCTGAAAACAGTGGTGGCATCCCTTGCCCCCCCCCCCCTGCTGCAGGTAAACCCCAAGCAGAGTCCGCCACCTGCCCTGGGGTAAACTCTGCATCTTTCCCAGGTTTGGTCTTTGAGCTGCTACTAACCTGACTTCAGCCGGTTTCTGCCCCTTTCTCTAATAAGATAAAATTCTAAAATCCAAATCTTGCGGTGAAGCCTGTCTAGGAAGCTCTGTGACGTTTCTAATCATCGTTTAACTACATTCTTTGCCCTCACCTCCATCTGACCCTGCACCCAGGAAGGGGAGCACCCCGTGGCCGGTGCCCACACCTGGCTGGCTGGGCTCTGGAGCCTTCTTCCCAGCTTAGCACCTCAGAGCTGGGCGGCTGTGCCCCTGCAGCCGGCCCTGCTTCGCACACAAAGAACAATCAGTACTCTGTTCTCAGTTAGTGTGCACCCCAGCCCTTGGGGCAGGCACAGGCTCCCTCCTGTCCTTGTCCTCCTGTCCTCTAACTTCCTAGTCCTCTGGGTGCTGACAGCTGGGAGCTGGGACGGCAGCGAGCAGAACACACAGAAACAAGAAAACACCTTGCGGTCGCCGACGGACAGGCTGCTGAGAACTTCCGGGACAACAGTCCTTGCAAAGGCCATGACTCCTCTCACTTCCCATAGCTGGAATAAACAAAGACATGCTGACATAATTCTGCTTTGTTTTTCTTTTCTCTTGTTTTGTTTTAATACCCCAGAGACTCCTTCCACGCTGCTTCTTGAAATATCCAACATAAAGCTTTTGGCATCTGCCCGAAGCACATGTTGGCACTGCCTAGAAGGAAATGTATGTACACGCAGAACTTTGGGAAATAATTACAGGATTAGAATAATTTCAACCGATGAGATCTCATCGTTCTCATCGTCTACAACTGAAGTGTTTTGATGATCTAAACCCAAAGTGTTCTAGTTTTCTTCATTAAAATTTAATTGTGTGTCTGTGTATGGGTGTGTGCATGTGTGTGTGGGTGCCCAGGAAGGCCAGAGGAGTTGTGGGCTGCCCAGTGTGAGTGCCCAGAAAGGAACTGGGTTCCTTTATAAGGGCAATATTCCATTTTAGTCTCTGAGCCATTGTTCCAGCATCTAAAGTTTGTTCCGTTTTAATGTGAAGTTATTGATTCATCACACTTTGATAATGATCTTTTAGAACTGAAATAAACAGGAAGTCTGCTCCGAACTGCACCCATAAAGAAAGCTATATTTTGTTTGAAGATGATTTTTTAATACATTAAAAGAAATTTAAGATCTGGTTATGTAAAATTTCCACCAAAGGGAGAATTTTAAAATCCAACTCTCAGGGCTAGAGACATGGCTCAGAGCACTTGCTTCACTTCCAGGGGGCTAGAATTTAGTTTCAGCACTCACATGGCAGCTCACAATGGTTTGGAATTTCTGTTCCAGGGCAGTCCATGTCCCCTTCTGGCCTTCATGGCCACCAGGAACACAAGTGGTACATAGACATATGTACAGGTACATGTATATGAAAAGCAAAACCAAACATATGTGCATACACAAATACACTCAGATACAAAAATTAAAAATAAAGTTAAAAATAAGGTGAAGTTAAAACTACAGATCCCCAGGCCTCCTTTCTACACATCCCTCCATGCTGAGCCATTTGGCCTAAGGTAGGCCACATCCCCAGGCTCTTAAAATCTCCCGATGGTTCTAATGGGAAGCTAACTTTCAGGGCTGGAGCTCACCGACCCAGAAGACCTTCAAGGGACAGAGTGTGGTTCCGAGCACCCACATCGGATGGCTCACAATTGCCCATAGCTCCAGTTCCAGGGGATCTAAGCCCTCCTCATCCCTCCAAAGGTAGCTTCACGCATGTGGTGCGCATACATACACGCAGGCATACACACATATGCAAAACAAATCTTGAAAAAGGAAAGAAACCTGCTTTGGCTCCAGGAAGAAGTCTGCACCCTCAGCACTAATTAGGTCAATGACCGAAACATCTGCAGGTCTTCACATTCAATTTTCTGAAATATACATATTTACCAGAACAGAGGGGGAAAGTCAAGACTGTGTACAACATAACAACTCCAGAGACTCTCTCTAGGGAAATGCATTACGTGTAAAGGTACATGTCCTTTATATTTCTCTATGGAATTTTTTCAATGAGATTTTTTTTTGGTCATAATTTCACAAATGAATTCCTCTGATGTTATACTTCTGTTGTCATTTTATCTAAATCAATCTGCATCTTTAATACTCAAAAAAAAGGATAGCTTCAAATAAACTAATAGAGAACCTGAGTTTGATCCAGCACCCACATTAAAGTTAAGTGTAGCAGTGCATGTCCATAACCCCAGTTCCAAGGGGCCAGAGGCAGGCAGATCCTGGGGTCTCCCAGATCAGCCAGACTATCTAATGCACCAGGCTGCACATCCGTGTGAGACTCTGTCTCAGAAACAAGCCACTGAAGTAGACACCCAATGTTGACCTGTAGCCTCGGCATTTACGTGCATGGGGTCATACATCTACACTCAGACATGCACACACACACACACAGAGAGAGAGAGAGAGAGAGAGAGAGAGAGAGAGAGAGAGAGAGAGAGAGAGAAATCAGTGTGCACACAGCCATACAGCACACACACAAACACAGAAATAAGTATGCACACAGCCATACAGCACACACACAAACACAGAAATAAGTGTATAGACAAGTAAAGAATATAAAGAATAACATGTGCTTTGTTCTGAGTTAAAGCACATGTGTGCCTGCAACCCAGAGAGTCCTGTTGAGAAATAGAACATTCCACCTCCCTGAAAGCTCCCCACTTGACCCATTAAATCATCTCTCTCCAGGCAATCACTGTTGTATCTTGGTTAAAATTATAGATTTGTTCCCTCTTATATATAAAAGAAATATAGTCGATCACATTGTAAGTTTTCCTTTGCATCTGATGTTTCTCTTAATATAAAGCATACGTTTATCTGTATTTATCCATGATGGCAACCTCATGGGAGAATGTGAGCCGGTCGAGCCAGCATCCCATGGCACAGAGTAGGGGGCATCAAATGTTACAGACACACCATGACTCATGGATCAATTCACCAGTTAATACAATCTGAGCAGGTTTCAGTTTGGGGCTATTATGAACTAAAATGTCTTGTGCTGACCTTTTTGCAGACATGTGTTTTCATGCTTGTTTGATAAATATTTAGACTTGAAACTGCTGGGTTATGGATAGGTAAGTGTATGATATAAAATGTTTTTTAAAGCTGAGGATGGTGGTACACCCCTACAATCCCAGCACGTGGGAGGCCAAATCTAGAGGTTCACCAGTTGGAGGCTAGCCTGGCCTTCACAATGAGACCATAGCTCACAGACAAACAAGCTCAGAAACTTGGCACATTTTTCCCAAAGCAGCAGCAGCATTTTACATTTCCACCAAGAGTATGCAAGGGTCCAGGTCCTTGAGCATCCTTGTGTACACTTGGTGTTACTCATTTTTAAATTTTAGCCGTCTTGGTGGGAGGCAGGTGCTACATCACCAGGATGGTTAGTTATACTAGTTGACTTGCCACAATCTAGTATCTCCTGTGCAGAGAATCTTGGTGAGGGACTGTCTAAATCAGGCTGCCCTCTGGATAAATCTATGGGAGGATAGTCTGGATTGTGTCCATTGCTGTGGGAAGACCCAGCCCACTGTGCATCATGTCATTCCCTGGGACTGGGTTCTGGACTGTATGAGAGTGGAAAAAGTAAGCTAGCAGAGTAT